AATGGTCCGCTTTCCCGTTTCATTTTTCATATCATTCACCATCATAACAATGGCAGCGAAAAGAACAGACTTCTACTTAATTATTGTTAATTAATAAGTATGAACATGTCTTGACTCTTCAGAGTACACTGTTTCTTTTTTTAATATTGGCAAGAGCTGAGAATCTGGCGGTGGGTGACATATATTGCGTCCTGCCAATGAAGTTGTCTGGTCCTGAAGTACCAATGCAAAACAAATCTTTTGCAATGTCTAAAAGATGAATGGGTTTTCATGTATAAATTGAGTGAGAAAAATTGCCATTTTAATTATTACTACTGCGTCTTTGCTTTCACTGGCACATATATATATACAGCAGTACAGGGTAAGCCAGCAGTATAGGACTCGGGCCAGAGACGGCATTGGGTCCTTTGGCCATGCATCTTCCGCGACGTGAGTCGCACGGTGTTGAATTTCTTTTCCTATATTGATTTGGCGAGTTAGTAAAGAAATCCAATAGAGCGCTGCTGAAAGGCAGAAACGAAGGAGGAAAAGCCGAAGCAAGAAAGGATGATTGAATGTACGATGAGAAGAAGACCGGTCATCGAAGTACTTCGCCCCAGACGGTCAAAAATCAGTACTGTGGTAGTGGTACCTCGTACATATAGGGTTGGTCAAGAAATGTAAGCCGCGGGACATGTTTCAATAATATTCACATATTTGAACGACTTAACTTCCAAATCTAATGGAACGTTACCTAATATATTCCTCGAGGGTTTTTAAAATGGCGTATGTCTGGGACGCCCTGTTCCTCCGTTATGGCAGGTTTTCTTGAAATCGGCAAATTTCTGAGTGAGCAGGCTTGCCGGTGTCGCTGCGAAGCATGAACCCCCACATGTGCATTGCATTCATGAAATTCATGCATGAGCAATGAATTTTCAGATAGTGAAAAGCAATTTTTGGCGACATCCTGTAAAATGTTCACCGTGATCCCTCAATAAAGGGAGTTTCCAATTCGGAATTTAATGCGGATTCGTGTCTCGCAATGCCTCTCACTCGGCATTTTATTAATTTCAGGAAAATCTGTCATAACTCAAGAATGCAAAATTGAACACATGAAACAATGAAACTTGAACACATATTGAAGAGCATGCTGGGCAATGTTCCTTTAAATTTTGAAGTCAATCCGAAAGTTTCGAATAGCTTACCTTTTTTTTCGCATGATACTTTCATTATATTTCCCTTCTCGCTCCTGCTTTTCTCCCCTTTGTTTCTGTCATTCAGCAGCACTTAATTGCATTATTCTATTATTATTCTATTCACGCACACAAAAGATCAATATGGAGAAAGAAAACCATCCCAGCGTGACTTGTGCCCCGCGCGACTCACGTTACGATAGTGGCACAACCAATGGACATCGCACCGATGCCGTTCACGGTGCAAGTCTCGATTTCTTCCATCGGACTGATGTTCCATCGGTCCCATCGGAACCAGCAGCATTTGCCAGTGAGAACAGAGAGGAGCCAATCAAAATGGCAATTTTCGTTGCACGTGAAAATGCATCCACCGACAAGTCGCCGCGGAAGATTCGTTTCCATCGATAACTGAGGACGAGATGGCTCCTTTGTGGGAACGCACCATCTGTCACGCACCCCCCAGATTTTCAGCTCTTGCCTGCGCAACATCTTCAGGAAATCATCACAGGGTAGACTCTGAAGAGTAGAGAAATGGCAACCTTTGATGCCTTAAATTAAAGATGGCGATGTTGCATGACGTTGCTGTTAAGATTATCACACCGAATTTTTTTTCTTTCGGATGTACTCTTTGTGGCGACATTCACTGCTGGAGTGCCCATTCGTTTTGCAAATTTTGCTTCATTTGTCCCTTTTGACGCGGAATGACCCATATCCATTGGCAGCATGCAAAACTGCAATTCTTTAAAATTGATCACAACTTGTGAGATGAAGTAAGTGTCGTAGTATTGGCTTCGGTGAACCCTTTGAAGTTTCATGGTCGGCAGACGAACAACCACTCAATAGTTTTTTTTGCGAAGAGAAGCTTCTACTTGAGTTACGATAGCAATACCACCTTTTTTAAAAATAATTTTAATGAAATTACCAGCTTGGATGGTAATACATGAAAATTTTGTCCTTTTCGTACTCGGAATTCCGTCCAATAATTTAGACGAAAATTATTTGACCGCCCATGCGCAATTAAATACAGCACCTATCCTTTGAGGTATCACAAATTTCCATAAGAATTACGTTTTTTGATTAAGAAAAGGCTGATCTTTCGAAATGTATAGGAGATCAAATCCAGATTTGGGAGCCAATAATCATTTTTCCTTGATAAGCTGAACCCCCCCTTATCATGCAATTTCCCGACGGGGGGGGGGCCTCAAAACCAAAGGCCCCCCCCCCCCCCCCAACAAGAAATTTCCCGATATCTCTGAGGGCCAGTCCGACCGTGCCTAGCGTACATGATAAAAATAGAAAAACGAAGTTACTGCAAATGCAATCTTGCTTGAATTCCGCCTGTTCGGCGAATTCTCACCGGATTCTACCCATGCCATTCCAGGAATTTAGTACCAGCCCAGGCAGACCCAATTTCTATCGCCAGAGTCATGGAGACTCGGCCGGCATGAACCACACGATGTTCATGTGGCATGAGCCACACGAGCATCTGAGATCTCAGTACCGAACGATTTTCATTCTGCCGCTTACATTGGTAAGCCCACGCTGCCTGGGAAGTACTCAATTGAGATTGCGATCTATGGGCTTTCACATCTGAGGAATGCATGGGCGAAGGGAGGCAGGCGATTCCCTTCGAGCTCCTCCTCTCCTCTCGCTGGATATGGGATCTGCCTTGATTCCTCCCGCTCTCGTTCCCTGAACGTGTAGGATCGGGCTTATCTCCAGTTTATTTGAATCTTATGTTCCTCTGGTCGGACTTGCTTGCCCATTTTCCCTTCCCATTCCCTCAGAGATGTCTGCATGATGATGATGATAAATAGAATGATTATTTTTGTATCATCGGGTAACATCGTTGTTCCTTTCAGCAAATGACGCCATCTCTTCGTTGACTCACGCTCAGTCCGTGGAATCTCCTGAATATCCTCTCAATAGCAATTTCAGGCTGCTGAGTCGTATCATTGGGGGGGGGGGAGGGAAGGATTGACTCGTGACTCAAACGTATGACTCAAACGTATGACTCAAACGTATGACTCAAACGTATGACTCAAACGTATGACGTAGTCATGCTTTCGGGGAGCACATAACATCGACTAATAGTTGCACTTCCGCAGTGAACCGACACTGATCCCACGCATTTACATGCAGTACAGCTGTCTTGCGTGGTGTCTGCCGTGAAAGATTAACGAAAGAAAGCTGCTTCATGACTTCTAATCCCTCAACTCGTCCCCGCGACCCTTCTCCGATTGGACATCAGAATGAGAACAGTTTTTAAAGCTAGTGCATGCACATTTAACCGAGGAGTGACAAGAAGACAGTTGAATACAAATGGAAAGGATGGCCTTGGGAGACACGAAGCAATTCCGATCCGAAGCTCGTTCGGCTCGAACACGGTCCCACGAGTGCATAAACGGAATCGAATCGCAAGAGGCAAGGTAGAGTGCTATTCCCTCGGTAGATTTCATAGGAGGAGTAGCTTTTGATTCCATCTGGGACTTCGAAACGGGGGCGTGATGGAAAATGCCTTGAAGGTTGTCTCGGGAAGGAATGCCTCAGATGGGTTCTTTGGAGCATTTCCGCGAGATGGTTTGGCAGTCTTTCAATTCATTTTTCCTTCTGTATGGTTTATTCGAGCGTTTAGCGGCTGAGATTGTGGGAGTGAACTGAGATTTTGTTTATACCTGAATTAAGTTATTTTACGTAAGCCTGTACCTATGTACCTGCAAAAACAGGTAAGAGACCTAGTCTGCATGATACCATAATTTGCAAAGGAGGAAATAACTGAAAACGTAAACTTCGTCTAATTGCTGCCGATTTCGCAAATTCTAATAGGATTCAACCCATGCAATACCAGCCCAGACCTGCTCGATTTCTATCGTCAGGGACCAACTCTTGATGCTGAATTTAAAAACCGGACGGTTCCGCTCCGATCTAGTGCGTTTCAGGGCAATTATGGGAGACTCGACTGGCATGAACCACATAAAGATGTTCATGTGGTATGAATCACGCGAGCATCCGAGAAATCAGTGCAGTGCCAGTACTGCAGCTTACTTTGATACCTCATTGCCGCTGCTGCCCGGAAAGTACGCGACGCGAATTCGTGATCTCTGGGCTTTCATATCTGGGGGATGTATGGGCGAAGGGAGACAGGCGATTTCCCTCGAGCTCCTCCTGATCCTCTCGCTGGATATTGGATCTGCCTTCACTCGGTCTCACTGGATGCTAAGGATCGGCCTTGCATCCAGTGTGTTCGCCCAATTTGCGTCTTCTGCTCATCCCGTGGGACTCGCTCGGCTACATGCCCTTCCCCCTTTCCACGTATAAATAGTTTAGAGTCAGACAAAAACAATCCATGGTGCTGTTCCTGCAGGTCTCCCCCCTGGAGGCCGGACACTGAATCTTGGTAAAAGATTTCATCCGAGATTACTCATAAATTCCACCTGGGAATTTGAATCGGATTCCATCTGGGAATGGGTCCAAGAGCTTAATTGGAAATGTCTCATTCGTTTTCCCATTCCTCGCAACAAGGGCAGTAGGTTAATTCTTACCTTAAGCGGCTTAAATTTTTGACGAATGCCTTAAAGATTTAGCTTGAAGATGTCTTCAGTTATTTTTCGTAATTTTAAAGCAATACTGCATTTGTAATTGATTAATCTACGATTACCAAATTAGGAATCCGGAGCACTTCAGAAATTACGCTATGGTAAATTTTTCTTACCAGGATTTTCTCACGTTGAAATCACCGGGATCGATGAATGAAAAAAAAAACAATAATAATAATATAACCAATATTCGAGTAACTTGCGTTAGTTGAAAAGTTAATTATGCTTTCATATGTCCATGACTGAATGGTCCAACGGACGCTTGTTGCAGGCGCAGAGCGAGGAGGACGCGAGCCCGGACGTGGACGTGGACGTCGACGACCCCCTGAATGGTTTCATGGGCGGATTCTTCGCTCAGGTGGGCCGCGAGAATTTATAGTATTCATAAGAATGCAAATATATGTATAATATATATGTCGTAGGGCTTTGTGGGGATCAGGGGATTTCGAATGTCCCTAGGGAGGGAAAGAAATTCGCTAATCCCGCGGGTTTAGCGAGATCCGCTCAAAGTCGTGTCAATGTCGCTACACCCTAGGGAGATTCCATATCTCCCTGGCTCGAAAATTGCCCTTACTGTCCCTCCGAGGGACATTCTCCTTTCGTTTGTGTTGACGGATTATTCATGGCTGAAGAATGCCGCGCCTGCTTCTGCCTGCCACTTACGAAGGAAGAGAAATTTGGAAGACGGTGGTTGCGTCAACGAAGGGAGAAACCATCGATGGTGCTGAGCTTAAATTCAGGCACAAGCAACATTTTCCAGTGGAAGAGAGCAACCTACGAAGGCAAGGCAAGAAGGCGGTAAGGCAAGAAGGCGGTAAGGCAAGAAGGCGGTAAGGCAAGAAGGCGGTAAGGCAAGAAGGCGGTAAGGCGTTCTCTGGAGCTGGCGTAATCGACTTCCTGCCAGAACAGTTGGTAAAGGCAACCGACGAGCAAGCTGTGGAGGTTTCTAATGGCGTCCTCGATGAAGGCTTTGAGGGATACGCCAGCGGGATCCATCCAAGCTAATCCGGGTGATTTGGAATCCCCCTAGGGGATGGTGAGATAATGGAGGATTTCGGGAAGATTTCGACGAACCCGCGGGTTTAGCGAAATTCTATCTCTCCCAGGGAGATTCGAAATCCGGCTGGATTCAGCGAAACCCTACGACATATATTTATGGGGAAAGCGTTACTTCGAGAAATGTCACAGCGGACCGGTTGCCAGAGCCACAACCATGCGAACCTATGACTGTGAGAAAGGGCCCAAAAAGACCCGAAGAAGACCTAACAGACCTAAAGACTGCAAGGCGCATTGCTTGGTAAGTTTATCCGAGCCCAAAGCCCTGCCTACAAAAGGTTAGGAGGCAGGAAAATCTACTGTTGAGGATTTCCCGTCATGGAACAAGCCGACAGATGGATCTTGGCATCGCAAAAAAAATTACGGATGCGTCGTTCAGAGCTTCAAGGGCGTAAGATGCTCAGAGAAGTCAAGCAAAGTCTCCAAGCCAGTTCACGAAGAGGAGAGTCTCACTGCGAGGCAGTGCCGAGATGAGGCTTCTGGATTTCCGCGGGGTCTTGGAGCGTTTCGTCGATATGCTTGGAATCCTTGCCGTGCATCGACTTGATGCATGCATCGACTTGATGCATGCATTCACTTGATGCATGCGTCGGGCTGACGCACGGAGAGGATGCCTGCAGCCCGATTCCCTAAAGCAATGAAAATAATTTAATTTGCGATGCACTCACTGTTACAAAATGTAAATTTGATTGGTCCAAACGGAGCCAATGGTCCAAACAGGCTTGAAACTATGTTTGCCTATCAAGTCTACCCCCCCCCCCCCCTTGTAAAAAAAAAAAAGATTCAAGCTTGAAGGAAAATGAGGAAAATATCTAAAAAGTGGCTCCAACCCATCCACCTCTACAATATAGTCCAAGAATGAAGGCCAATTGCTAATATGGTCCATGATTTTGTGCCTTCGCCAATATGACCCATGATGAAGGACCAATTGCCCGTATGACCCATGATCAAGGGCAACTTGCCCTTGATGGTACAAGGCTGATGATCACTAGCTCTTTTGTCCAAAGTCGATTGCAATCCATAATTAGGGAATATTCATTCATTGAATCATTCGTTTCCTCAGCCGGTTAATGGGATTGCGGCTCGAGCAGACTGAGGAGCATTCCCCGGATCTATACCCCTTGCACGTGGAGCATTCTGGGAGCGTGCTGGGGGCGAACAGGGAGCGTTCTGGGAGCGTGCTGGGGCGTGCAAGGGTTTAAAGAACTTAAATGTTATTCCCAATGTTGAAATACTGGGTTTCTGTCATTCATTTCGCCACACATCCCTGAATCCAGCTTCTAATTTAATAATGGTTGTAATAATGATTTTAAAAGCTAACTCAATATTACGAATGCAGGTGGAGGAGATTCGGGAGATGATAGAGAAGATGCATGCGAACGTGGAGTCCGTGAAGGTGAAGCACAGCGCCATCCTCTCCGCTCCCACCACGGACGATAGTGAGTCTGGCAATGAGAAAAAAAAACCCTTATAAGAAACCACAAGCCTTCCTTCCTTCATATCGAAGGGGTGGGAGAGGGGCGGGGACAAGAATAGGCTCAAAAGATCAGAGAAAGGGATGAGGAGTCTCTGCCGTGGAATCGTCGATTATATTTTAGAGTACTGAGGCCAGGATCACTAATGAGCTGATCATCGATCATTAATGGATCAATGAAGAAATATGGCGATGACATTAGGATTCGTAGCGCTATCGCGACCTTCCTCTTCGCTTCCTAGAATTCCCACTTCCTGGAAATTGTTATAAATCTTATATTGAAAATTGTTGTGGAACTCCTTGCTCTCAACTCGATTTTCGACAAGACACGACGGCGTCCTCCATGGGTGAGTGGGAGTGCTTCATGTCGTGGGAGTGCTTCATGTCGTGAGAGTGCTTCATGTCGTGGGAGTGCTTCATGTCGTGGGAGTGCTTCATGTCGTGGGAGTGCTTCATGTCGTGGGAGCAGGTCCGCGCATGCGCAGCTGAATCTCTCTGTGAATAATGGGCTGGGCGGGGCGGGGCGGGGCGGGGAGACTTCTTTGTATGAAAACGTGTAGGCCGAAGAGTTTCCTTGAAGCGAAGTAGGAAGGTGCAGGAGATTCCTGAAAGCGAATTAGCTAGGTGCAAGAGGTTCCTGGAAGCGGATTGGGAAGGGTTGCCGAAAGAGAATGGGAGCAAAGGAGGAATGAGGAGAAACTCATCGATGGAATCATTATCATTAGCATAACCTGCATTAGCACTAACGAAGTTGGAAGAGTGAATTTGGTGGCGAATGCGACGAGGGATCGCCCGAAGGACAACGAGTTATCCAGCGGCAGGAGTTACTCAGCGGCAGGAGTTATCCAGCGGCAGGAGTTACTCAGCGGCAGGAGTTATCCAGCGGCAGGAGTTACTCAGCGGCAGGAGTTATCCAGCGGCAGGAGTTACTCAGCGGCAGGAGTTATCGAAACGGGTGGTTTATTTTGGATCGTTCATTCTTAAAATTCCACTCAGATGAGCACAACTCGCAAATTTCGCTCGTCAAAATCACGAAGACCGACTGAGCTCGGACCCCTTGCAAAAATCATATTCGCTGCAGAAATTTTGGCAAAAGATCCATGGAAGAAACGAAGCCTGCAAATTGGACGATCTCGCTTTTTCCCCTTTTCCATCTTCCTTCGTGTTATTTTTCCATAAACGTGAATCAGTGAGCAGAAAAGACGGATGATGATTTTTGCTACGCGCTTGAGCGAGCGGCATGCATATTTTGCATGCATATTTTTGCAAGAGCAAATCAAGGGAAAACATGAAGGACCATTTTTAACTCATAAAAATAGAAAGACGAGATGTTCCAGATACCATAAAGAACTGAAGCTTGTCACTTAAACGATAACTTTCAATGACTGTCAATAACTTTCCTCGAATAGAATAAATAGATATTTATTTCTTTAATGTTGCTTACTCGAAAATGGCAACGACGTCAAATAACCGGAGGTAACGTGACGTCACGACGAAAAATTAAAACGGCCAGGAATGTTAGCAATTGAGAAGGTGGAAGTGTCGATGGCGCGAAAATTGAGAGATGGACCGCTTGAAGGGCGAAGATGTTGCGTGATGAGGGCAATATGATAGAATCAGAGCAATATGGGAAATAATTGACATATTTTAATAAGTTATCGTTCTGCGCCGGCAACGATCTCGGTGACGTCGTCAGTGATTCGCCATTTTTTTTTGCTCAGCGAGTGCTGCAAGTGCCATTGAAGGTGTTTTGTGCAATTTTTAGGGTTGAAGCAGGAGCTGGAGGATCTCACGGACGAAATCAAGAAGGCTGTCAGCAAAGTTCGGGCCAAGTTGAAAGGTGAGTTGAAGGGAGAGAGGAGCGAGAAAAGCTGAGGAAAGGCAAGGATGGTCGAGGAAAGGTGAGGAAGGGCGAGGAAAGGCGAGGAATGGCGAGGAAAGGCGAGGAAGGGCGAGGAACGGCGAGGAAGGGTGAGGAAAGGCGAGGAATGGCGAGGAAGGGCGAGGAATGGCGAGGAAGGGTGAGGAAAGGCGAGGAATGGCGAGGAAGGGCGAGGAAGGGCGAGGAAAGGTGAGGAAGGGCGAGAATTCCAGATGAACATATTTTGTACCTAGTCCTATAAATTGATGAATAGATGGATGAACTTCCAAGGATTCCTTTCCTACCGCCTCATCCGATCGTTTTGCGGCTTCATACTTGAGACTTGGGCCGCTCATCACTTGCGATCACTGGCCATCGGTTGAAAGAGGGGAAGTCTCGGAGGCCCGAAGCCGGTCCCAACGGCCTTCGACAGGCCTTCGACGCTTCTTCGTTCGCTTCCTGCCGGCGCGCATTCACGCGCCCCCGGCGACTCCGGCGATTGTCGTCGAAAGTTGGTCAGGAGGAGGTGGATCTACTTCTCGCGATGAAAAGGGACGAAAGAATAAAAAATGAGAAATGAGAAATGAGAAATGAGGGGAAGGGAGAAGACGACATCGAAAAAGCTCTGGTCCGAATTCGCAAAATTGCACGAAATGCGCCAATCAGCACGGGCATTGCCAATCGGGAATGCACAATTTTATTCGAGGAAAATAAGTGGAATCAACGGGACTCTTGGCTGGCAACATGTCAAGAATGGAAGAAATCCCATTTCTGCAGCAACATTACCGAAAACTGACAATTTACTCGTTCATGACGGCAGCACGAAGTTCATCCGAGAAACATGAAGCTATTTTTCTGCCTAGGAACCAAAAAATCTAGAGAAGCATCGAAACGCCATATCGAAGCGACAGGTGACAGGAAACGATCACTGCATCGATGGAGATACGGTATATGCAGACTACATTGCCCGGAAATAGCCCTAATGGATGCTGTGCACACGACTCCTCCTGCAAGGAATCGTGCGACAGCGGCCACCATAGTCAAACGCTTCGGAGAAGCCAAAGAGACGGGAAGCCCGAAGGGATTTCCTCCTCTCCAAACGGGATGTCCGAGGATGACTATGGATGACACCGGGACCGAAATGGAAGGGCTCGTCCGCGCGACCTCCACGCTTTGGAAGGCTGCAGCCTCCAATAAAACGATTTAGCCGTGTAAATTCTGAATTTCGAGCTTTCGTTGAATGCAAGCGGCTTGCTAGCTACAAGCGGTTGCCTATCATAAGCAGCCGCTTGATACTATTAAATTCCCTTCCATCGACGTGATCGCAGTAAGCGGCGGATACTGCAGTTTTCCTCTATTGAATGCAGCAGACATTGGGAAAATTATTTGGTATTGGTAATTGGTAATGGATAATGAGTAATAGGCATGCCTCCCCCCTCCAATCCCCAGCAATGGAGCAGAAGCTGGAGAAGAAGCGGGCGAAGAGCACGCCCGCCGCCACGCGCATCCGCGAGACCCAGCTCGCCGCCCTCACGCGGGAGTACGTGCACGCCGTCGAGGCGTTCCACCGCGCCCAGACGGACTACCGCGAGCGGTGGAGGCGCCGGATCCAGCGACAGATCGAGTTCGGTCCGTAGCGAAACATTAAGATAAATTACATCAAATAGACTACTCTGAAAAAATTACATTGAGTAAATTACATCATGTGCAGCCGGGAAATCTCTCAGCAGCAAGAAGGTGGAGGAGATCGTCGACGCGGGGAACGAGATCATGTTCATACACGGAGTGAGCCCTTTCACCCAGTCGTTTTCGCATATTTTTTTGTAAATAAGCGAATATTTAAATATGCGAAAATATTATTGTTCAATAAGAGGAGGGCCAATCAACAATTGAACCCATTTCCGCAGATCGTGATCGACGAGGAGCTGATGACCCTGGCGGAGATGGAGTCGCGGCACGCGGACGTCGTGAAGCTGGAGGCGTCCATCAAGGAGATCCACGACCTGTTCGCGGACATGGCGGATCTGGTCGAGCGCCAGGTGGGTCGTCCTTTTCCTCCTCATTTTCTTTTCGAGACCAGTAAACAAGGGCGACGGTGCAGTGAGTTTGAATTTCAAGAATGCATTGTCTTTGTGGGATGCAGTCCTCTAATCAATTCTTTTAGCGATAATAATTCTTCTGTGGATGAGTCGTGACTCGTTATAGACTGAAATAAATTATTAGCTATGGGAGGCAAATGATTAGTTCCATGAGGTAAATGATTGGTTACATGTGGTAAATGATTGGTTCCATAAGGTAAATGATTGACTCTGAGAAGTGAAATATTGGAAATTGGAAATCCTTGATTAGTTCATCGAATAGTTCCTGGCGGCTGTGGCCGTTTCAAGCGAGGCAGGGAATGTCGGCGCCTGTCATTCAAAGCTTGAGATTGGCCTTGCTGCCACCTGGGAATTCATTGTCCCGACCAATTCCTGCCAATCCCAGATGAGGTCGGTTGATCGCTCGAGTGGCTTTCAGGTCACAAGCGGAGAAATTTTTTGGATTCATCATCGCATCGGGTGCGAGTTGGGAGTCTCTGCTCGGTTGATGACGATGGGATCTGGGCTTCTCTCTGTTCATTCGCCGAAAATCGTTCGTGATTGGACCTAAAAGTGGGGGGAGAAAGGCTTGCGTGTGGATCTGATAGGGTGGTAGGCGGGGATGGCATTCGGAGGTGGTGCGGAGGTGGTGCAGAGGTGGTGCGGAGGTGGTGCAGAGGTGGTGCGGAGGTGGTGCAGAGGTGGTGCAGAGGTGGTGCAGAGGTGGTGCAGAGGTGGTGCAGAGGTGGTGCAGAGGTGGTGCAGAGGTGGTGCAGAGGTGGCGTATCTGCACCAACACTTCCGGTGGTATATGTGATTTGCGTCAGAGTCAAATCTGTTACTGAAAATTTGAAATCTTTCTGCGATGCTTTCAAGGGTGCAAAATGCGAATGATGCGAATCCTGATCTGCTGCGTCCCCAGGGAACGAGAATAGACCGCATCGAGTACCACGTGGAGCACGCGGTGGATTACGTCCTGACAGGCGCTGACACTACCAGAGACGCCCATATTGGAACATGTAACCGGGTGAGTGGGTGAGAGGAGCGGTGCCACCTGCGGGTGGGCGTCGTGTCACCTGCAGGTGGGCGCGGATTTGTGGCCTAGTTTTTCGCCCGCGCATTTGATCGGTAATCCGATTGTGTCTGAAATAGCAATGTTGCCATTTCTCGGAGACATTTCCGGCAGGTATTCCAAGAGTAAATGCCCCATTTTGCGGAAAACAAATTCTCTTTGCCGCAGAAAATGATCGCTAATCCCATTCTGTCAGGGAATTCCCACAGGAAAATAAACTTCCGCAAAGCGCTCCATCAATTCCAACACGTTCTCTTCCGGTTTCGCCCGATTATGCATGCAAATTTGGGCCAATTTCATGAGATCTCCAACTTGAGCACTGAAACTGACAGGCCCTTCGTTTGCCCCTTCATTTGCCACTTATTTGCCCCTTCATTTGCCCCTTTCATGCTGCCTGGCTTCCGGCAGAAGAAAATCGTGATTCTCATCTGCCTCGGGATCTTCGGCATCTTGCTTGCATCCACCATTGGAGGGTTTCTTGGCTTAGTCGAATAGGTGAGTTCGCATGAACACTGTTCACACCTTTCAACACTGTTCACACCTTTCAACACTGTTCATATCATCAACACTGTTCGCATTAATGCTGTTCACATCATTAGTTTTATTGTGCATTGCTCGACAGTTTTGTGACCGTTAATTGCCGAGCGTAGATTAACTAACTTTCTTCGTCCAATTATTGCCAATTATATGCCAATGATTGATAGTGCTGTCAGAAGGCTATGCAGATTAAGGAGGATGGATTAGGATGGAGGATTTATGAGGCAATATGTGTTTAGCAAAAGCCAGGTCAGGTAACTCTCTGATTCCTGAACGTCGTACGGTATCAAAATTCCTTGCTGAAGATGTTGCTGAAATATGAATTTCCACTGTAAAAAAATATTCGCGCTGGTAGCAGGCCAACATCGTCATTGCGTTGTCTTCAGCCTATTCTTTTTTTTATTACTACATATTAACAGCGGATTCCTGCATTGGACACATTCGCAATCCAAGATGATTTTTTTTCCAAATTTTTTTGATAATTTTTTCCACAAAAACTCAAAATGCTTTCTTCCGCTCCCTCCTTTCGTTTCCCAGGCAGAGGCTCGTTGGATCGCGACATTTCCTCACGGAATCATGCGACTGCCTGCGTTTCCTGCTGTGGTGCAACTGCGTCCATCGGCTTCGCTTGAGCAAAACGGAGACGGGAGGAATGGCCTCGTTCCGAGGGAGCGCGTTCATTCTGCCCGGCTTTCGCTCATCTCAAGCCTTTCCTTTTTCCTCGGCCTCTCGCCCTGCTTCTCGTGATGATGGACATTATGATGATCGTGATGATCGCGACCATGAATATCATGATGATGAGCATTATGATGATCGTGATGATCGCGACCATGAATATCATGATGATGAACATTATGATGATCGTGAATATCGCGACTGTGAAAATCATGATGATGAGCATTATGACGATCGTGATTATCGCGACCATGAATATCATGATGATGAACATTATGATGATCGTGATTATCGCGACTGTGAATATCATGATGATGATCATGATGATGTTCTTGATGATGATCGTGATGACCATGATGATATTTGATGATCTTGCCTTCCTCTTGGTTTATAACATTTGCAAATTGGTTTTTCGTGACGTTTCACGATCCCTTCCTGCATTTTGCCAAATATATGCTAAATTACTTGGAACATCCCATCACTATATTATAGAAAATCCAACAGAAATCCTCACTGCAAACGGAACTGCCCAGTGCAAAATTTCCTTCAGTGCCAAAAATTTCGCGACTGAATCCTTTCGAAATTCGCAATGGCATCCCTCGATGGATCTTGCCGTGGGAAATTCACTTGTTGACAGGGCGAATTCAAGGGAATTGGTTTTTCCCGGATTTTATATTGATCTGGGGTCTTAACGAAAAGATTTTTATATTAAAAAAAACTGTTGATTTGAAAGAAATTTTAAATCTTTTTTTAGTTTCAGTTTTATTTCCATAAATTCTCGAAGTGAGGGAAGGTTTTGCTTAATAAAGTATTGTTTCATGAAGTATTTCTTGGTACGATTTTCATTAAATAGAGTACTGATTCATCGGAAACGTCGGTCACATTAGATTGCCTACAAGGAAAGATATTTTGTTATAATTAATGCAATTAGTGTAATTAATATAAGTTGAAGTTTCGTAATGAGTGACATGAAATCGATTCTTGGTGTGGTTAACGTATTGTTAGCACTGACGTATAAACGGTATGATACGAATTATCAAGGAAATTCGAGCTGCAAAATCCAGAAATGAGATTGGCAAACATCGATCGAAGATAACCGTCCGGTTAATGGCGACCGTCTGGTTTAACGAATTTCGGCTCAGGAATTTTTTGCGATTCCGGGATTTCGAGGATTTCCTCCATCTTCTCCCAGAGTTTGCGTGCCAAATCCATGTCGCCGCCCCTGTTCATCTCCCGCGCCACCTGCAAATCGAGTTTGCAAATTTATGCTCAAAATTGCATAAAATTGCTTAATGTGAACAAGGGCAAGAAACCTTGCAGTCGCTGAAGTAAGCGCCAGTCACGCCCTCCGCGTCTTCGCAGACCGCGCAGTGGATCGAGGTCTGGGCGCCATCCGAGGGAGTCTGCGAAAATTTTTGCAAATTTGCAAGTATCGTAAATTCACCCTTCGCGCCACACTTTCAGTCGAAAATAAATCTAAGCTCCTGTGCTAAACGGAAATGGCGAAGATCGGTGAATTGGCAAATAGCGGATATAAAATAGAAACGTGCCAATTTTATGAGTGCAAATTTGGTTCTGCACCTGCGAAAAACGTACCTTCATGAAAGGCCAGAGGAGCAGAATTGCAATTTGGAGCCAGAGAGGCCTCCGCTCGATGATATTCGACCGGGTCAGACCCGGGTTAACCGCGTTCACCATTACTCCTGGAAAAAAAAATTTGTACAAATAAAAAATTATTTACAAAATACAGAAACAAAATGACATAATTTAGAATTTTCTCTCAGATATTTTAGTAACCGCAAAATTTATTGCCAATTTTTTTTGCGCGAACCGGATGCTCGAAGGCGTCGAGCGAGCTCCTTCGCGAACAGCAGTTTCCCCAGCTGGCAGTCGTCGAACACGGTGTACTTCCGGTAACCGCGGTCGCAGCGGAGGTTATCCAGCTCGATCCGGCCGAACACGTGCGCCGATGACGTCACCACCACCACGCGGCTTCCCCTCTTCAGCAGGTCTGGGGGTTTTTTGCGAATTTGCGCCAATTTCAAATTTATTGAATTCTTGGTGAAAACTGAGTTCATACCTTACTTTGGCGTTGCGAAACATTTAACGATAAAATAAAATATACTGACGTTAATGAGTAACACATGAGCTATAGATGAAAAATGATAAAAGGCTAGTAATAACTAATAAATAAAAAACTAATAAATAAAAAACTAATAAATAAAAAACTAATAAATAAAAAACTAATAAATTATGAGTAACTGTTATAAATAATAAAGAATGGACATTTTAAAGTGTAAGTCTTCTTAGAAGCCTGGAGCGTTTTTCTTGATCGAGTGTGAGAGAGCCTCGCCCAGTTTCCAACTTTTTTTCCTTTCAATCGAAGTCCAATCGAAGGCTGTGGCGTCGATTGGATCGCGGCTCGCGAGTTCGCGGATTCTCGTTAAAAGTTCGCCCGGATGTGGAGGATCATTGAGGCAATTTTCCACGGTATTGATCGATGATTGACCGATGATTAATCGATGGTCGATCGATGATCAATCGATGGTCGATCGATGATCAATCGATGGTCGATCGATTACCAATCGATTAATATTTTTTTCTCGATCAAACTTGGCGTCAATTCACTTTCAACTTAGATTTGCGGAATCACTCTGCCGAATTTGTTGACCGTTTGGAAAATGAATGCAAAATGATAAACAAACTGGTTGAAAAGAAGAAAAATGAGGGAAAATGAAAAGCAAAAACAGAAGAAAGCGACAGCAGAAAAACCAAAATTTCCAGACCATAAATAAGCCGAAACTTCAACGACAAATGAGGAAATAGGGGAAGAAAAGTCGGCAAAAAATTATTTAAAAAAAAATTTTTGCAAATTTCAAAGAATAATTAAAACAAGAAAAAACCAAAGGCGATCTGACCGAGCAGAAGATGGACGAGGAGGAAGTGCCCGAGGACGTTGGCGGCCCAGTGGTACTCGAGGCCGCCGAGCCCCCGCCGCGGCCGGTCGAGGACGACGGCGCCGCCGGCGTTCAGGACCAGCGCGTCCAGCCGGCCGTGCGTCCGGCGCGCGTCCGCGCAGAACCGGCGCACCGAGGCGGCGCTCGCCAGGTCCAGCTGCAGGGGGAACACCGCGGGGTTCCCCGTCTTCCGGATCAGCTCCTCTGGTTCCAACGATTTTCAGCGATTGAATTAACAAATTGAATTAACAAATTGAATTTACATGTCCAGATAAAAACGGTTGAATTAATATGGTGCAATGACTTAAGTAATAATTCAATTATGAATAAATAAATAAATTGATTAAATTGAACTGAACAAAATAGCAATACGAATAAAAGAATGTAATTAATTATACTGAATTCATAGATTTAAATCGATCGAATTGAAGCAATAGAATTGAATGGATTGAATTGATTCAATCGGATTAATGGGATTGCCAACGTGGCAGCAGCGAATGAACCTGTGATCCCGCTTCCCAAATTTCAACCGTCGGTTTAAAAATAAAAAAAAACTGACCGGCTGCGAGCTTGGCGGTCGTCAGGTGCCTGGAGGTCAGGATAACCGCGGCGCCCCGGGCTGACAGGTCCAGCGCTGTCTCCTTCCCGATTCCTGGGTGGGAACCTTTTGTTTTTTTTTTTTCAATTTTAAAACTTTTTATTTTTGTAATTTTTTTTTTTCGCCAGCGGATTTTCGGGATTTACCAGCTGGGTTCGAACGGTTTCAGCATTTTTTAAATGAAAGAATCAGGTTGAAGCCGTTCAAAATACATAAATTCACGATTCCCATCTTACTTTGTGACTTTCTTTCAAGTGCAAAAAAGGAAATAAATTTTGTTATATGAAAATGAAACGTATTACATAATTATATATAATTATAGAAATGTAAGCGAAATACCCGAAGTCGCTCCAGTGACGAGAACAGTCTTGCCGATGAGCTGGCGGTGACTCCGACACCGGCCGGTGGTGCCGAGCCAGTAGAGCTTCACGGCGAGGACGAGGAGAAGGAGGAGCGGGAGGAGCATGGTCGTGAGTGGGGCACCTCCGAGGGGGCACCTCCAGGGGCAGCTCCGGGGGGGGGAGGGCGGGTCACCTCCAGCCGGCAGAGTCATGGGCCTTTGTCCTCCGCCGCGATTGTGCGGCGTCCTCTGGGCGTCCGGCGGAGGCAGGGTTGCCGGATGGGGGGAGAAGAGTCGCCACCTAAGCAAAATTCATCGTTGAGACCTTTGTGATTTAAATTCTTGTGCGCACTCGGACTCGAGTTGCGGCGGAGAGGATTCGACTACACGGAGAGTGAATTGCATTTTCAACCATTTTTAGCTCTTTGTTTCGTCTCCCGCAATCGAGCATCCCTGAGAGACTCCTTCCAATGCCGCAATCCTTACCCGGCAGAATTTCCTCGAGCCGCCGACCAAGCATCGATGCGAGGGATTGCGTTGCCTGGGAATTTGCACGCTGTGCAATCCGATTAAGTAATCGGATTCCGATCAATTAGAAATTCTCAGGCTTTCATCCACGTGTTATTTTAGACATTCATCCCAGGATATTCGAGGGCATATCAAATAATATAATAATAATGTAATTTGTTTTTTACACAAAATACTGAGAGCTCGCATGAATAATTTTGGCCACTATGTTGAAAAATAGTTGATGCACTCACAATTGTTCATCTGTTTACATATGTCTTGGTTGCTAAAATAAATATTGCGATGCCGCGATAATCGCCGGGGATTATCGACATCAGCGACGCCTTCTCGACACACGTCGAAGCAGGCCATGCGTCCCTTGGGGCATCCCGGCCCGGAGAGCAGAGCGACCCTCCCGCGTCAGCTGCCTGGCGTCGACTGCCTCCACTCTCGGTCTCTCGTCGGCTTTGGGCGCTTGCGATTGGTCGATTGCGATTGGGCCTCCCCCAATTGCGATTGCGATTGGAGCTGGAGTCGATTGTGATTGGTCGGTTGTCATTGCCGGCTTGTGTGTATTCTCTCCCCTCGACAGAGACACCGGGCGGACTCCGCTGAGCTCCCCAGATGGATGTCGTCCTCCGTCCGGAATGTTTCTCTTGAAATTTCAAGCTTAAGCTTTTGCTTAAGCGAGTTTGAAGTCGGCTCTCCTCCGGTCTTTGTCCACGGCCAGCTCACGGGCATTTTAGAATCTTCTCAATCGGTTTTCAAAAGTCACCGGCCGGGAGTCAACCGGCATCCTCGAGTGTCGATCTCTTTGCTGTCAATTTTTCATTCATTTTTCATTCGGTGATGATTTCCGCTGCCGGTTTCCGGATGCCGCTCACTCGTGACACCAATTACTATTGCCATTATGAAGGAAAAAAAAAAACTAAATGACTTAATTTCTAAAAAGGATGAGCTAAATGGCTTACACAAACGACGAGCAATTTTGGGGAATTCAATTCGAAACTTTCCCGCTCTTGAGTGAACCTCTGCGAAACTCTGGAAGACCTCTTCGATCACTCCGTCATCTACCCTCATATCCGAAACTGTACAGTTACTTTTCCATCCGAGAGATGTCGGGGTTCCAGCGACGATCCGCGTCCCACCTGGAGGGTCCGCGGTCTCCGCGGCCCAACAGATGGCCCGGCATCGCAGTGCATAACGGCTCAGGCGTGCAGCCGAGCGACCCGGTGAAAAATCCTCGTTTCTCCCCCTCCCTCCTACCTCCCTCCTACCTCCCTCCTACCACCCTCCAACCTCCCAGTTTCGACAGCCGACTGAAACATGAAACCGTTTTCGTAGCGGTCGCATGTGGGCGGAACCCGCCTCCCCTGCCAAGCCCAGGAGATGATCAAAGACAGATTATCGGCCCTCAGAGCGGTAAGACAAATTTTTTTTCAACACTGAAAACTTTTCGATTCCTTCTGAAAGCTGCCAAAAAATTTGCATCAATGCTGATTTGGAAACGAACAATATTATATAATATAATATTTATTGTTCCACGTTCCCCGATGATCGCGAAACATTTATGCAAGAATCGGGGCAATGCCCGCAGCAACTAATTGCCGGTAACACGATCATAAATATTCTGATTAGCGTGCATTAAGCAATATCCGATCAAATCCACTGCGCGCTACCTATTATATTTTAGTGCATATATCATGTACCAGAACGGCGTGCATATAAATCCGCGAATGTACCAGATTATTATTAGTAGATTAGGAGAATTTGGGATATTTGGAAGCGTGTAGATTTTAATTTCAATTAAAAGTTTTTTGTCTCCTCGAGCCTTCTTGCTCGGGCAGGCAAGTCGAGCTAGCCTCCCTGTACACACACACACATATATATAAATATATATATATAAATATAATATATATGTACAGGATGCGAGCATGGCACATGATTCGCAAACGGGCTGGCATATCACTATATGCCATGTCCACTCGGAAACACCTGGAGTTCTGCAGTGGCGACACCCGGCCTCATTCCTCGTCCCCCTCCCGCGTAGATGTGTCACAGGCCGTTCTCGCTCGACCGAAGTCGATCGCAGCGGGAGCCGTGCCCTGGCATGCATAACGATATTCCCCCGAGGGGGCTCCGTGCCGCGCTCCGTGCCGGCTTCTTTGCGCGCTTCTTGCGCCCGCAGCCAGCTGCGAACGTTTTTGCCGCCCGAGAAGAATTAGGTGCAATAGCGTGAGAGTTATGTCTCTGTCTTTCTCATTTTTTTCCCCATTCCATTTATTTTCATTATACATAATAGTTTTAAATAATTGTGATCATATGAGGTGGCATGTACATGAGATTTCCCAGAGAGCATGCCAGCATGTCAGGCCGACACGCTGTCCTCTTTGCCTTATGTCTTCTACTCCCCCCCCCCACACCCCCCCCAACCCCACAC